GGGGCCCCCCTTGGGGGCCCCTGGGGTGCCCTCAGGCCCCGGAGGCTTCAGGGCCTTGCACTCTTAGTTTACTTCTGCTGCGTCGCCCTTTTTGAACAGCTGGCGCAGCAGTGTGCTGCAGCAGCAAGCCCCGCAGCAGCAGCAGCAGCAGCAGCAGTACCTGCTGCTGCAGCAGCAGATTTTGGCTCGCTGCTGACAGCTTCCACTCTGGAGGCCCCTGTGGGGCCCCACGCACACTCCGGTGTATATACACTTCAAGATGCTGCTGCGCAGCAAGTGCAGCAGGCTGCTGCTCTGGGCGGCCAGCTGTACGTACAGCTGGCAGGGCAGCAGCAAACAGCAGCAGCAGCAGCAGCACCTGCTGCTGTGAATGTGATGGTAATGCCGCACACTCAAGAAGGAACTGCACCAGCAGCAGCAGCAGCAGCACCAGCAGCAGCAGCAGCAGCAGCAGACCCTTCCCTCGAAGCACTAGGTGCAGCAGCAGCACCGGGCGCGCTGCTGGCTGGGTCTGCAGCAGCACAAACCGCAGCAGCAGCAGCGGCGCCAGCAGCAGCAGCAACAGTACCAGCACCAGAAAGCCTAGTACTTTTGCCTGCAGCAGCACCAGCAGCAGCACCAGCAGCAGCACCAGCAGCAGCAACCGCAGCGCCACTAGCAGCAGCAGCCCTATCGGACCCAGCGCAAGGGTCGTTGCTGCCAGGGACAGCAGCAGCAGCAGCAGCACCAGCAGCAGCACTTCCGCTAATGCCTGCAGCAGCACCAGCAGCAGCATCGCCGTTAACATTACCAGCAGCAGCAGCTCCTGGAGCAGAAACAGCAGCAGGGACAGCAGCAGCACCATTAGCCGCAGCGCCACAAGCAGCAGCACCACTAGCAGCACCTGCTGCAGCAGCAGCAGCAGAACCAGCTGCCCCGCTAGCTGCTTCAGCACCAGCAGCAAGAACAGCAGCAGCACCAGGAGCAGCAGCTGCTGTCCTTCTCGCTGCTGCACCAACAGCAGCAGCACCGCTAGCAGCAGCAGTGCCGCTAGCAACAACAGCAGCACCGACAGCAGCAGCGCCGCTAGCAGCAGCACCAGCAGCACCAGCAGCAGCAGCGCCGCTAGCAGCAGCAGCACCAGCAGCAACAGGAGCAGCGCCAGCAGCACCAACAGCAGCGGCACCGCCAGCAACAACAACAGCACCGCTAGCAGCAGCACCCCTAGCTGCAGCAGCAGCACCAGCAGCAGCAGCAGCACCAGCAGCAGCAACAGCACCGGAAGCAACGACAGCCCCAGCAGCAGCAAAAGCTCCTTCAGCTTCTGCACACGAAGTTGCTGAGAGGATGAGAGTGCTGGAGCTGCTGTCAGGTACTGCTGCTGCTGGTTCTGCTGCTGCTGGTGATGCTGCTGCTGCTGCTGCTCCGCTTAGCGGCAGCGCAGCAGCGCAGCCAGCAGCTGCAGTTGGGGCCGGGGAGGGCGCGGAGGAAGCAGCAGCAGCAGCAGCAGCAGCGGCAGCAGCAGCAGCAGCAGCAGCAGACGGCGCAGGTGTGGGCCCGCTCGCTGCTGCAGCAGAAGAGGCTCCTGCTGCAGCAAAAGACGCTAAAGGAGACTCCCCAGGGGTAAAATAAAAAAGGAAAATAAATAGTGTAAAATAAATAAAGACACACACTTAAGGCAGCAGCAGCAGCAGCAACAGCAGCAACAGCAGCAGCAATAGCAGCACGAGCAGCGCCAGCAGCAGCAGCAGCAGCAGCAGCAGCGCTTTCTGCATTGCACATAAGAAGCGGCCTTTGCCACCATTTTGGAAGGAACAAAAGACACCAAAGTGTGGCCGAAAAAAATAAAAAAAAACTAAATAAAAAAGATAAAGAAAAAAGAAATAAAAAGAAATAAAAAGAAATAAAAGAATTAAAAAGTAGAAAAGAAATTGTTGTTTGTTTTCAGGACTTGAAGACCTGCTTCAACCGCTGCAGCTGCACTCCTGTCATAATTGTGTCTTCGCTGCTTTTCGCAATTTGCTGCTTTACTGTTTTCGTCGCCACTGTCCTCATGGGCACTCTTTTCTCCAAAGTAGGGTTTAGGGTTTAGGGTTTAGGGTTTAGGGTCTAGGGTTTAGGGTGTAGGGTTTGGGGCAGGGGGGAGTAGGGGTGGGGGTTTAGCGTTTAAGTTGAGGGTTTAGGGATGCACGCTTTTAGGGTTTAGGGTTTAGTGTTTAGGGTTTAGGGTTTAGGGTTTAGGGTTTAGGGTTTAGGGTTTTGTTTTGTTTGTAGGGTTTCGCTTCCTCTGCGTTCTTCCACGGCGGCGGCTACGCGCTTTTGGCTGCTTCGGTTGTGGGTAAGTGCTGCAGCAGTCCCTAGGGTTTAGGGTTTAGGGTTTAGGGTTTAGGGTAT